GGTTGCAGCCATCATTGTTGTTTGGCAGGCCCGGGCTGGATTCGAACCTGCCACCTTAGGTGTATGTGGCTGGTGCCTTAGCCACTTGAGCCACAGGTGCCGAGCCAGGACACACTTTTCTGCCCATACCGCCAACCTCAGCTCTGCAGGGCCCAAGCCACACTCTTCCTACCACCCTGATAACCTCAGCTCTGCAGGGCTCAGGCCACACTCTTCCCACCCATGTTGCGGCCACACTGCACTCTCCACACCTGCTCATTCCTGGGGGACTTTGGACCTGCTTCCATGTTCCTGCTACCTCTAGGCCCCCTCATGTGATAACATCAGGAGCTTCTCAGCTCCAGGGCCCTTTGTCCCCCTAGCCACACATTTCCAGAGTCCCTCTAGGCCTGGTCACCCCTTGACCCTGTCCCACCATCCAAAACAGCATTCAGAAATTCTCCTCTCTCTGACCCCAACCTCTGTTGCACTTGAACATGTTTCTGTCTCCCCACATAGTCTTGGACCACACTCTTGGCTGCCCCCTCACTTCTTGCTTAGCCAACTTGGTGCTCACTCCCCTCACTGCAGCTGACCTGCTTATCCCTGTCTATGCCTTCAGTTAGCCCAGCTTGGCCCTCACCACCCCTTACAGGAACTCACCTCCTCCTCCCTATTATACCTTCAGTGGTCCGGCAGGGCTCCAGCCAGGTATAGCTCCAGGGTGACATGTGGGCACAGCAGAATGCATTAGGGCAGTAATGCTATAGCTTCTACAAGGGCACTGTCACCAATGTGAAAAGAGTCCTTGGCCCTGGAGGATAATCCTACAGGTCAGCATGGCTTCCCACACTCTTCAGACCACCTCTCATCTCTTTAAACCCCACATAGCCTCACCTTTTCCCTCTGTGCTGACCACTTTCCTAAATGGCCTAGAGGGTTTGAGCCTCCTGGTGTCAGCGTAGCCCCCAAGACACACACACACACACACACACACACACACACACGTAATTAGGGCTGACCTGTGGACTGACAGATATGGCAGAGGTGACAATGGGTGATTTCCAAGGCCAGGTGCAGCTAGAAGGCACTGCAGCTTCTGTCTTAGTTCTCTGGACACTGGTCTAGGGGAAGCCAGGTGTCATGTTGGGAAGAGACTCAAGCAGCCCTGTGGAAAGGCCTAGATGTGGAATTGAGGCTTCCTGCCAGCAGCCAGCTCTGACTTTCCAGCCAGGGGAGTGAGCCTTGAGCACCAGTGGAGCCTGCAGATGATGCAGCTCCAGCTGACAGCCTCCTATAGCCTCCAGAAAATGCTAAGCCAGAACATTCTGGTTAGGCCACTCTAGTAGACTTTCTGAACCACAGAACCAGTGAGAGATGATAAATGATCACTATTGTTTTAAGTGGTCACAGTTTGGGATCATTTGCTAGGCAGCAATAGACAACAAATCATCTCACTTTCTGCACATGATCCTGTATCCTACTTCTCAGAGTAATAGTCGTGAGAAGGAATCCACTTTCCTGTTTAGGTACCAACAGTGCAGTTTGTGCCCTGCTCTGCTCCCTTCCTCTTGCCACAGACAAGGGGCTGCTACCTCCCTTCTCTGCAGTGCCCTCTGCAGCTCTGGCCCAGGGCTCATCCTCCCACTTGGGAGGAGCTTCCTGCACTTGACATGCTCTCATCTGCCCTTTCCCTTGAAGCTCTCCTACTTTGGACTCCTCCTCACACCATGAGAGCCTGCTCCAACATCTTTGTAGTGATACGAACCCACCCTTGAGCACAGGTTTATTTTCAGTTACTTGCCAGTCTCTGTCCCTCATTCCAGTCAGTTTTCTACTCTGTCTTCTTTCCTCAGTCCTCACATAGTTTCCCCTACTACCAACTCATGGAATTGAGTTTCCCTCCTAGTTTTCCCTACTCCATCCTTGGTGGAATCACCAATGACCTTACTCACAACAACAAAGATGGAGACTGCAATGGCACTGATACTATTTCCTATCTGTCAGATCGACAGAGGCAACACTGGGCCACACTATTGGTAAGGCCATCAGAGGCATTCTCACACACTGCTGGTTACAACCGCTAGGGAAAAAAATTTGTCAACAATGAGCAAAGCTGCAAAAATGTTTACTCTTTCCCAATCAACTTCATGTTTAGAAATCTATCTCAGAGATAGATTTTTTACAGCAACAATAGGAAACTACTGGTAATACTGACTCTTGTATCAAATCCTCCCTGGCCTTTGTGTGAATTCAACAGATCCAGGCAAGAGCTACAGACTTCCCTACCTTCTACAAGTGCAGGATGTCTCCTATTTCCCCACCAGGGACTTAACTTGCAGTTAGGTGTACAGTAGTTGCAGTCACTGAGCTGAGAGTGAGAAGGGGTTGGCCCCCGAGAGGTAAGCCAGGAGAGCAGGTGCTGGGTCCATTTCCAGGCTCCAAGTCCCTCTTCAGGGTTGTCAGGCAACTGAAGTCTCCTGCTTGGGAAGGAAGGGTCTCTGTTCAGTTTACAGATCCAGTGGCTCCTGTCCTGCCCTAGACATGGTGGTGCTGGAAGAGGGTCACAGTGGGTTGGCTGCTTTGTATCAGAGCTGCCCAAGAGAACTTTTGATGATGATAGAAATGTTCTATAATTCTGCTCTAATAGGGCATGTGGCTACTGAAATGTGATTAGTGTGCTAAAGAAAATGAATTTTGAATTGTGTTTAATTTTCATTGGTTTAACTAAATAGTTCTATGTGGCTAATAGCCACCATAACAGAGAGGACAGCCCTATACATACTCAAGGCCTCACTTCCTTTAGGATGTAAAGAAAGATCCTTTGGGATTGGCAGAAGGGGCCACTCACAGGTTTGCACAGCCAGGAGTTGGGATCACAGGGTGTGTTCTCTGCCGTCAGATACACACATGCATGAATTGAGAGGGTTATCATATTCCTTCAGTTCTAAACTTCCAGATCTCCTCTTTCCTATTCCACAACCATATTCTAGGCCTAGGGAACAAACATCTGATTTCTAAACTTGTTCTTAATACCTCCCATCTTGCCTCTTAAAAAGTCATCATTCTGACCCTGAAAGTCCATTTGATTAGACTAAATGCCAATATCACTCTCCTGTCCACATTACTTCAGACTAAATGTTAATATCACCCTCCTGTCCACATTACTTTACTGTTTTCCCACTGTAATAATGCTTGATTTGGTTCTGCCTCCCTGTCGGTCTGGCTCACACCTCTGACCCTCTCTTGTCTTGGCTTCAGCTAACCCTGTCTTCTCAGAGCAGGAAGCATGTCAGGCTCTCTCCTGCTTTAGGGGCTTTCTTTATGCAGTATCCTCAACATGAACTGATCTCTTGGACATGCTACTCCAGCCAAACCCTATGACTAGTTGTATTTGTCTGCAACTCTAGCTCTTAAACTAAATATCCTTTCTAAGAAGTTTTCCCTGGTTTCCTCTGACTAAGTCCTGTCATTCATTGTTTAAAATCCATCTTCCCTGTTAGACTATAAACTCTAGGGAGACATGACATGCCTGTCAATTTGGTTCTCCAGGGTCCCTGTACACCTAGATTGGCTCCTGGAGGTGCCCTGGTTTGCTGAAGACTGTCCTGGTTTTAAGCCTGAATGTCTTATGTTGTAGCAAATCCTTTGGTCCTGCATAATTAGGAGGGTTGGTCATCTTATATTATACACTCAAAGCATATGCACTGCATAAGCAAACATTCCCTTGATAATGTTATAGGGAATCTAAAATGAAAAAGGCACACATACACACACACACACACAATTAGTAAACTCCCACAATTAAATATATGATTACTTAACTTGAGTTTGCAGTATGAATCATTACATGGTTATTTCAGGAAAGTTTTAAAAACAAAGTTAATTACTATTAGGAAGCATGGTTCAGAGGACAATCTTTTTGGAAACCAGTGCCCTACCCTTCAATTTACAAGGTGTTGCTTAATATTCTTCCAAATGATTTAAAATCTCATTAGGAAAAAAAAATCTCAAAACACATCTGGTAGTTGGTCAATTCAATTTTAAATTTGTTACTAATATAAGGAAGCTCAAGTCATCTTTTTCATAAGTGCTCATATATTTTGAAGCTGTCTGGAGGATTTATTTGACTTTAAGTCAGACAGGCCTGAGAAATGTTGCTTAGTAATTCCACAAGTCTTTAGTGGGAGGGCTTGAATACTACATATACATGTAAATACTTTATATATTTATACTTACATAAAATCCTAAAAATTTTAGTATAATGGCATGAGAAAATCTGTATTTCTCTATAGTCACACATATTTACACTTATATATGTTTTGTATGTACTTATTTGCATATAACTGCATTTGCTGATTTATTCACACATGTAACCAAAACAACTTAGTATCTTTCCCCTGACTAAATAATTATTCTTAAGATACCCTCACTCTTAGTGATTCCTGGTGGTTACAATCTGAGCTAAGGACAAGCCCATTAGCAGTTCTATACAGGGAGCCTGCTGTTGCAAGTTCTGCACAGTACTCACCTAGTCACACAGAAACCCACGGATCAGCGAGGACAGATGGACTGATTTCAACACAAATATGAGCTTGAGAGATGCTTTTCTTGTCTGGAAAAAAAAGACACAAAGATTGCTTTTCAGGCTTTTTCTACTGTGTACAGTTGGTAGATACAATGCTTGGCTAAAAGGACTATTCTTTTCACTTTTTTTTTTTGGTACTTTATGATTTAAGTGGTAATCAGGGTCCAGCCTATTGGCTGTTACTGGATTTACCTAATTCCTATGCAGATGCCTGCTACTCAAGATGGGAGTAAGCAGCTTAATGCTGTGTATATTTGACAATTGCTCAATTCATTTTGTTTGAGAGAGATTTTATGTTGATTCTAGATGTTTTAAACTACCTTTTCACTTAGAGGCCCTATAAATGACTCACCTTAATTTTAAACAAGGTATATAGTTTATGCAGAACTTCATCGAGTTTAAGGCCCTAGAGCAGAGTTTTCTAACCTAGGCACTATTTATAATTCTTTGTTATGGGGGACTGTCCTGTGTGGTGCAGGATGATGACCAGTAAGCGGCGTCGCTGGCCTCAACCCACTGGGTGACGGTAGCAACCTCCCCTCCCCCACAATTGGTAACAGCAGAAAGGTTTCAAACATGGCCAAGAGTACCCCGGGGCACAGAACCGCCCGGGTAAGGGCGATGGGGGCTCTCTGAGGAGGCGGCAGCACAGGGTCCCGGCCAGGGAGGAAGCAGCAGCTTTGGGCTGACCTGAGCGAACAGCCCGAGGCCTCAAAGGAGGAAACACGGCTCCCGGGAAAGATGCAGGGCCCGCCTTTATGGGAGCCCGCGGCCAACGCCGCTCCCTGGACTAGCACCAGAGCCCCCGCCCGCCGCTCACCTAGTCCGGCCCCTCCGCTGGGGCAAACGCGCCGACTTGCGGAGACGGAGGGACTCGGTCAGGTTGCACTACACGCGGCCCCTCCCACGGCACCGCCCCACGCTTCCGCTTCCTGTCTCGGGCCGTCCTCCTCCACGTCTGCTTCCGGTCTCAGGCTGGCTCCCGCAGGGAGGAGGAGGTGGGGGGATTTTGGACGTAGGCAACGAACAAACAAGGGGCGGCCAATGTGATTTAGTTTTTTACTGAGTACGAGGCCGGGCCCTGGGCTGAGTCAGCCGCTGGGGGCAGGGTCGGTCCTGTGAGCAGAACAAGGCGGGGAGAGGGACTGTGCGGGGACCCTTGCTGTGGGCGGTACCTCTTCTGGTACTGGGGAAAGAGCAGTCACGCAGGCGGGATGTAGGCAGAGATCTCGACCAGAGTGTGGCGGCCCTGGGCCTAGGGGAGAGGCCTACTGGGCGGAGGTCAGTTCTGGGGCAGGGATCTGGGCGGTGCCAAACTCGGTGGGCAAAGGTCTATGGCTGGAGCCGGGGGCAGTGGTGCAGAGGCCGGTTGCCAGACTGGGATATAGATTCGAATAAAGCAAATGTAAATTGTGGGGTGCAGTTGGGTTATGCTCAGGGGCTGAAACTGTGGGAACTCAACTCCAGGGGCGGGGGCTGAAGGCGGAGCTTTCCTTGAATTCTTTGAAGGAACATGGAGACAGATGCTTAAGTTTTCGTATGTTCCCTCTCCTCGTTTGCACAGCCCCATAGAAATGGATTGTATACACACATTTCTCCACAACCTGAAGATAGTGATTCATCGCAATTTTAAGAACTTCTGGGGGACAAGAGGAGACTAGGTCGTATATACGTGTAAGGGAAATTTCAAACAGTGGTACAAAGTCAGTATAATAGTCTCACGCCTACCACTATCAGTCTTTTTTGTACAGAGACAAACATCATTTTCTCCTCTTCCTCTTTCCTTCCAGATACAGTGTGTTCGTGAATGTGTGTATCTTGTAGTCACTCATGGAATACATACATATTGAGCCCTCCTAAAGGCACCTGAAGGCTCAGCGGCTCTGGTGGCTGAGGCAGTGACTGATGATTCCATCTCTGAACTCTAACTTAGGCAACAGAGCAAGATTCTGTCTTAGTAAAACAAAAACCAAAAAGCAAAACCCCAGAAACCAACACAAACACAGGCAAAGCAGGTGAAAGTCCTTGCTGTTAGAAAACTTGCATTTTATTTGTAGGTTGGGCAGGGAGAGAGAACAATGAGTGTGATGGAGTATAGGATGTGCTAGATGTTGATATGTGCAGAGGGAAAAAAGATGGAAGGGATTAGTCTATAATGATTCCCCCCGGCCTGCTTTTTCTCTTCCCTGGGATCCCTGTTCTAGCTTCCCATAGACAGTGAGTCCTCTGCTCCACCTTTGTTTTCCATGCTCTTGCTGGACAGACCACCAGCCATAGCCTTTCCTTCTTTCAGTATGCAGTGTTTACCTGGATCGAGTGGAGGGATGGACCCCAAGGTGGGGAGTGGGAGACTTTTCAATAGCTGCAGGTTGTGAGAGGCTGCTAATTTTCATGATGGGCAGCACTGGCTGTGACTTGCTGTGTTAGACACTTTTGGAAACTCAGGTTTGTCAGTAATGGATATCTTGGAAGACATGCAACTGCTGATTGTAACTATGTTAACTTTTCAGTGTAGATTCCATTTAGGGAGAATAAGAATCTTATTCTTTCCATCCTTGAAAGTGGCATACCCTTATTGGTATAGTCCTTTCTTTAAGCTATTAGATTTTAAATTCTAATGAAATATTATGACTTTTGTTAGGTTTGTTTTCAAACATTGTATGTATTTAGTGCTTTTTTTTAAAAAAAAGTTATTTTGATAAGATTTCAAATTTACAGAAAAGCTGCAAGAATGGTACAAAGAATGCCCTTATACCTGTGAGTCGAATTCACCAAAAATTAACCTTTTTGCCCAATTTTCTTTATCAGACTCTGTGTGTAAATATTTTTTAAACCATTTGAGAGGAAGTTGCAGACACTATGCTTATTTGTCCTCAAATGCTTCAGGTTGTATTTCTTTCAAAACTACAGTAATTAGCAAAATCAGGAAGTTTAATGTTATATGGTGCTATTATCTGATACATAATCCATATTCATATTTTCTAGTTGTGACAATGTATTCTATGGCTATTTATTTATTTATTCATTTTATTTTTTTCATGTTCTAGGTTGTAATCCAGGATCATGCCTTGGATTTAATTTTTATATCTGTTTAGTCTCTTTTAATCTAGACAGACATTGTTTCTTAGTCTTTCGTTGGTTCTCATGACTTTGGCATCTTTAAAGTAGGAAGACCAGTTATTTTGTCAATTTTTTTTAGCATGTCTCTCAATTTGATTTGTCTAACATTTTCTAAGGAGCTGATGTAGGTTACAATGTTTTCCCTAGGAAATCATAGAAATTATGTGTTGGGTGATGTTCTTTCTCGCGGGGAGAGAAGGATGGCTTGGCCACGGGTGCAAGCTCGCTCCTAGAATTGTTTAAAAGCAAGAAACGACTACATACTCTTAGGTGGCATGTAGCAAAATGTCTTTATTTTCCACTCCCTTTATTGGGAGCTAGTCACGTACACCACATTGATCAATAATCCTAACATCCTCATTTCTTATCTTAAACTATAGAAAAGAAAGAAAGTC